TATACATATATATATACACACACATCCCAGAAGTTAACCAAATCCTGATGTTGAGTTTTTTGAGCTGATTGTTTAAATTTTCTGCTGTGTGCAGTTGGGTTATTGTATTACCCCAGACTTGTGGGTGAACTGTCTCAGTGCTGGTAGTAGCTGTGCTGCAGTTTGTGATCTACCTGTCACTCTTGTTTATCAGCTGAAATAAATTATCGTTTCTGTATAATGAAGGTCTCCATGACTAGAATAAAACCATCTCTCTTGCTCTTCCTCTGGGTGATTTTCGAGCTCTGTTTAATTGTAACCTGATCTTTCCATCCCGTAGAGCTTAGAACGCTTACGCACGCGGGCGGGTGCTGTGGCTAGTGGGGAAGGTGGAAGAGACCTGCATCGGCAGAGCTATCCAGGAGCTGCTCGAGAGGGAAACGGCTTGTCAGATGTGGAAGTTAACTCCCTTTCTCCACTCCGAAGGAAAAGGCGTGGAGGTGCTTCCGTGACTGGACGTACGGGAGGTGGGAGACTGGCACACACAATTGCTCGGTTCCCGAAGATGCTTTTGCCCAGGCAGCTTGTGGGACCCAGCGAGCAGGTGCCGAGTTCCCCTGTCCGGGGGGTCTTTTGGGCCCGGCTCTGAGGTGCAGCCGGATGCACGTGGCCAGCTCGTAGCTGGAAGTCGCCCTTAGGCTGAAGTGGGTTTTCTCACCCGGGGTAAACCCGTTCCTACTGTCTCCAGACCGGTCGGCGCTACGGGTCTGGGATCACGGTCGCCGCTTCTCGCAGCGACAACCATGTTTCTCCACAATTCCAGGCCCTGACCTTGGCACTGTCATCCCAGTGATGGCAAGGCACTCCTTAAGCCCCGGTGTAACGGGGCTCCAGCACAAAGCTCTGCAGGAAGAGACCAGGAGCACCGGGGCTGCTGACTCAGGTTGCTGTAGTGCTGACGGCTGACTTACCCCGCGGGCTCGTGGCTGTGGTACCTGTGCCGTCTCCCAGTGCCCTGCCAGACTTCAGGAACTAGAAATCTCCGTATGGATTTTACTGGCAGTAGATACTGGCACAGGGTTGCGTGGATTGACTGGATCTCTAGTGCTTCCTTCCTACCTGTAGCAGGAATCCATAGTAGGTATGTATATCCGTACCTACTGATGGATACCCAGCTCTCCGTCTTGCCTGGTTTTACGGGCTGTAACTTCATCTTCTCCTCAGCTGAGGCGATAACCATCGCTTGCCCTGCTCTGTCCTGGTTTTCCCCTGGCTGGACCTGTTCCGTTGATCCCTGCTGTTACACGTAGGGCTTTCCTGAAAGAATACTGTGGGTTTTTGGAGGCAAAGCTAGGTATTCAAGTAAATATTAGAGGTTTCTGGTTTTGCGGAGTCAGGCTCTAATGTGCCGGTTGCCGGGGTTAAGTACGTTGTGATGAGAGCGCCA